AATTCCTCTTGAATGGCTGAACATTTTATGCTTTTTCTGGCTTTGAAGCTGTTCTTAAAATGTTTAATTCTAAGAAATATACAGAGAAACCACAGTAGATAACCAAATAAACCAGTAAATAATGAAATAAACCACCATTCAGTTCGTCATAATTCAGATTTAACTTAAGGTAGCGCTGCCCTCTAGTGTTGAAAGGTAAAACTGCAACCCTATTTTGACATTTTGCATGACATTTCCCTTCTTTTTTTATTTTGCAAAGATGACAGGACTTTTTCAAATATGTAGGAATAAAGTTTTATTTTCCATATGAAGGGGTGGTTTTGGATTTTCTTCTTTTACAAGTAGTATGTTTTTAATAAAACTTGCAAAAAATGTCCAAGCATATTCCAAGAATGATGGACATGAAGAGAAAGGGGATTTATTGCTGGATGTTTAAAATAATGACACTTTTTTTTTTACTCATTTATCGTTAATATTTCTTTTTTTTTACTGAGTGGAGAAAAACAATTTGCTTGCTGCTTTTTCCATGCACCCAACTACCAGTACCACTAGGACATGCAGGGGGTTTGAGAGGCAGGGGGGAGAAAAGGGGAGCTGGAGTTGGAGGAGGAGGGAGAAGAGAGGGAGTTGGCAGGTAAAAAAGACAAACTGCTTGACAAACAAACATTAAAGGGTAATGTGTCTGAGTGTGTGTGTGGGTATCAAAGTTTGAGTGTGTGCCAGTGTGTGCATGAGTGACATTTACGTGTGTATGTATTAGGTGGGAGGGGAGCGTGGGGTGAGGAGAAACAGGGTGGGGTTTGTCAAACAATTCGACTAGCTCTAGAAACACACTATCCTCATTTGCAGATTTTCCACATTGTAAATCCCAGATTGATTACAGTGACAGTATGAAGGAACTAGGCAGAACTTTGGGGAAAGTGTCCAAATAATACATCTCAACTGGGATTCGGAGGGATTTGTCACCTTTTTTAAAGAAACTCTCTATATCTCTGATCCATGCATTGTCTATGGAAGAAAAAAAACGACATCAAAACAAAATTAAATAGGGAAAAGAGTTCTGTCTGACACAGTGACATTTTCCTCGGAGTCTCCAGGGGTCTCAGGTGGAAGAGTTCTGATCAGCCTAATGTGAGTGTGCTGCTCGTTGTACTCCAGATGAGGGTTTAAATTTCTCGTCTGGTTGCCTCGGAAGGTCCTAAGAGGGTGAGAGGAAGACATGAAGGCGACGTGGCAGATGGAGAAACACAGAGACGGACCAGTCAGTCCCTATGAGGAAGCAAAAGAAGCTCAGGCGATTCTAAGTGTCTCTGCTGAGGACGCAATAACCTGGATTTTAACACAACGCCACCGAAAATTTGCCCTGTGGCTTCCTAATCCATGACCGAGCTGTGCCGTCACGAGTGCAACCAAACACGGGGAAGTTTTTAAAAGATCCAAATCATTCGGGGGTCATTGACAGTAGTTTAATTCAAACAGTGAAACTCAGGTGGGTTCATCAGAGAGGGAGCTGCAGTGCAAACATTCCTCTCTGTCTTTTAACTGCTGTTTCAATTTCCCAGAAAGTTGTAATTTGACAAAAGACCAATGAGAATGGTGTTCAATTCATCAATCTGAAAACACCTGCTGCACTATATATGTGTTCAGTGCTTAAAATGGACTTGTGTTTTGGTGAACTGCCACATCAGGATGGAGACTGGAGAGGCATAGATGTGATCATCGGCTGGCTCTGCTGAGGAGTAATAAAAGCCCAGATAGCTTTCATTAAAACTTTCAGTTCTCTGGCTTCTATTGTCTTTCTCTTTGATAATGCTCCACATATTCTATATGGGGTTCAGATTATGTGGGTTTTAAGTCTGGTCAAATACAACCACAATGCCTTACAGCAGTTGTTGCTACTGTAGAAAGTATTGGCAGATTCAAGTCCTGCGGAAAAAGGATGAAAATGGTAGACAGTCCATTCTGACTGGGCTTAATAAAACACAATGAACATCAGCGGCTCACCATCTTTGACTCAACAGTTGATAATACCTACTTTACCAACACCAACCGATGAAGTGGTGCTTTAAATCCTCACTGACTCTGGAAAATTTACACATGACTTCAGGCAGATATGAGTCTGAAACATTGGCTCAATCCGAATACCTCAAAATGCAGTTCCTACCTCCGGTTCCTAGCTCCTGTCCCTTCATCTTTCACAGAGCCAACAGTAAGAACCCTTACTGGAGTAGAAAAGGACTGCCGTGTTGAATCCAGCCAGCTTTGAGCCTTACGAACGTCATTAGGAGACAGACATGAATGATGAAGGTGTGTACATTGTCATTGGTCACATAGAGTACTTGTGAAGAAATAATGGACTTTTGTGAGTTTTGTGGTGAGGGAGTTCAGGAGGTCCCTATGCTACAAATTGGTGCTAGTAAGCATTCCTGCTTCCTGGTCCTAGCGCCTTCCTAACCTCCAGCACTATTTGTAGTGCATTAATTATGGTAACAGCAAACTCACTTCTGCCATGGCTCTAATGCCTTTACTGTTTAAAGGTATTCAGATGGCGTCATTGATTTCCAAGTGAAAATTTACTTTCTTCTGAAATGAGAACTTTGGACCACATAATGACAGTCCAGCTCTTTTTCTTCAGCCCAGGTATGACTCCTGGGTTCAGATGTGGGCTAACAGAAGGACTTCAAACCCTATTGCCCATGTCTTGAATACGTTAGTATGGTGCCTCTTGTAGCATTATGTCCAGCATTCATTCTTGAGTCCTCTAAATATCATTTCTGCATTTCTCTTTAGCCATATTTTTTCTTCTCCATCAGGGAAGTGCAGAGACAGGAGTTTCACCTGCAACCAAAGGGTTGTCGTTCAAGCTCCAGCCCCGGCTTCCAGTGTCAATGCCTTGGTTAAGGCACTTCACCCGCGTTGCCAACTGATGGTGGTCAGCAGGCCCGGAGGCGGCTGAGTACGACAGCCTCCCTTTTGTCAGCAAGCCCCACCTCAGCAGTTGCTACAATTCAATCACCAGTTAAGTCAGGCTACGGTGAATTTCTTTGGCCTTTGATTACATGATGAATTTTTGGGTGGTTTGCGCTATTATAATAACATAAAATCCAGTTGGTCATTTCTACGTTCAGTCAGGTTTTTGAAGATCAACACCTTAACCTTAGATTCTTGTCTCTCTGCAGGTATACTTGTGTACCACTATAAAGGTGCATTCACACCAAATGCCGATGCGACAAGTGGACCAAATTATTTATATGTTATCTGTATGAAAAGGCTATTTCAGGAGTGAATGAACAGTCGGTAATGTGAGGCATGCATTTAGAGCATTGGGGACGTCGCAAATTGGGGAATTTGAGGTAGGTGAGGTGGACGCAGCGATAGAGTGAAGTGGATAGAGCAAAGCAGAATCTCTGGTGTTAAAAAAATTTGACTTTTCTCTCTATTCATGTTTACCAGACAGCAACTGGATGTGTTTGTAATGTAGGGTGATAGAGGGCAGTGGAATCAAAGTGGTTGATCCATCACCTTGCTGTGGCACATCAACTCCAGACACTGGGAACAAATGGCTGACCCCTGGAAGTGATCATCCAGCCACATATCCCAGAGCAGGTGGTAGTAGTGGCAGAACTGGGAGCAGAACCTAGGGATGTCAGCACAGAAATCACAAAATAAACAGGTAATGATACTGGGTCCACTGGCGGCCTGTCCAGGGTGTACCCTGCCTCTCGCCCATTAACAGCTGGAGATAGGCACCAGCACCCCCCATGACCCCACTTGGGATAAGCGTGTTTGAAAATGATGGATGGATACTGGGTCCGTACTGCTAGAAGCGATCATCCAACCCCAGTTCTGGATCTGGTGGACCCAACGCCATTGTTGGGTAAAATTGAGGTCCACCCATTTCAATTGAACAGACGAGGATTCAAGATTCTATCCAATTCTCCTATTTGATGAAACGGTGGAGAGATTTTGGCAATTTTTCACCACTGCGTGCCAGAGATGGGGATCTGGAGTCAACAAGTCATCTCTATGTCATGTATTTGTTCTGCCCAGCCACTGAACCAGGCGAGTCCAATCGGGTTTCACCTGTGCAGATTGGACTCACCTGGTTCAGTGGCCTGGCAGAACAAATGCATGACACAGAGATGACTTGATGACTCCAGATCCCCCATCTTTGCTATGTACAAAGTGACCAAAAGTACGCAAACAAAGGGAAAATGTTTCGTTGTTTGCATTTGGTGTGAATGGAAACTACACAAATGTCACAATAATGACGTTCGAGAAGCTTTGTACTGAAAGCCTACGACATTCTAATAACTTAACCAGTGTCAACATACAGAACAATAAATCCTAGATGTCTGTTTGATCTCAAAATATGAAAAAGAAAAAGCAAAGGAGATGCTCTAACAAAACAGAATGGATTCCACACCCTTGATCCCAGAGAAACTATTCTGGGCAGAAGTGAATAAACCAATCAAAATAACTTCTTCAAAGGAAGGAAATGTCTCAGATTATTCACCATTTCTCCTGTTTAAACAAACCTAACAGAATTTCCAACCTGCTTGCGAACACACAGAGAGATAGGAAGCAACAACAACCGGTAGCAGGGTTTGAACTAAATGTGTTTTTAGTTTGGTCTTCTGTGATATCGAAATTTTCCAGAGAAATCAAAAGTAGTGTGGCAACCATCAACACTGAATAAATAAATACTTGATTAAGGGTGATTTTTATATGAGTTTCACTTTTTGAATTGAATTTGCCAAGGAAACATTGATTTTATTCAATTTTAAAGGTTTAACTCCAAGGAGTACCCAGAGGAGTGGTCTCTTCTTAAGGAGGGGTTGGCATCAGGTAGAACTTCTAGCAAGGCCCAAAGGTCATTTCCAACTTTATTCCAAGTTATCGAACAACACACATCTACAAACATGCTCTCCTACTAACATACAACTTTTTAAATCTAAAGAAGAAAGTTAAGTGGTTTCCAATTCTAATTGAATCTTCAGCTTCTAGCCATTTGTTTTGTATTTTCTTCTTTTATTTTTTTTAAACAAAACAAGTGAGTGCGGTGGGAGAGATATGGATCTGGCCCTGTGGACTGATCTGAGACTGCGATGACGGGCTCGGTCTGCTGCGAGTCATTCGGCTGTGATGCGATGGGGAAGTCCTGAGACACAGTGCGGCTCTAAGCTGCTGGCATAGGAAACGGGCGGGGCCAGGCAGTCCACGGGAGGCCAGAGTCAGGCTGGATAACAACTGGACTGGTCGAGTTCAGTTTGGGTCGGAGGCTCCCTGACCGGCGGCTGTTCGCGGAGGGAGGTGTTTACAGTGCAGTGGAGCTTCTGGCGGCGTGGCAACCGGCAGACGCGTCAGTGGATGTACCGTGCAGCCACCTAACCAGGCTTCATGAAATCTCAAACACACACACACACACATACGTACGAATGTAATGACAGCACCGTGAACACCTATGACAAACATCGCCATCCCTCCACAACACCTGAACGCCCTTCTATCCACAGAAACTACAAGAAAGTGACTGACAGGCAGCAGACAAGAACGTGAATGACAGATGCGTGTTCATCAGAGGAATCTAACCTACACACCCGGCTGTACCATCGCATGGGTCGAACTCATGTAAACAGACACCTTTTACACAGAAGGAATCAATATTGCATGATGACATAATCAGATCACAGTTCAAAAAGAGGAAGATCCCAAATCAGAGCAAATAAAAAAAAAAAATCAAAAGAACAAACCAAACCGAAGCAATAGGAAGGAAGAGGGTTGGTCTCTATAAAAATGAGGAGTCTTTATAAGAAAAGCTACAAAAACTCAACGGGACCTCCGACTTCAGCATACAGCAAAAGGCACCACAATATTATTCTATTTATCTAACTTGTGAAAAAATTGGCACGTAATTCTCCTTTTTTCATCTCTCATAATGCTGTAAATCAAAAAACTTTACATATAAATATCCCCCCGTTATAAAAAAAGTCTTTGCTGTTAGCTAGTAGACAATTTTTGCTGAAATGAAAATAAATATTTCATTTGTTTAGAATATCTGTCTGTTATACAAAATAAAAATATTTCTCCTAGGTGCAGGTCTCTAGTCCACTGGTTCTGTGAGGGACGAGAGGAAGTGTGTGAGGTGGCGGGGCGTGGCAGGGCGGGACAGGGGGTGTATGGGAGGGCGTCAGGAGGTCCGGTCTTAAAGGGGCATGTTGTCGGCCTTGGAGCGCTGTGACTGGGAGCCGCGGCTCTGCCCGTTGCTGCGCGTCCCTGGCCGACTCAGCCCGCGGTGAGTCCGTGTGTCTGCGCCGGACGAGGAGCGGTAACCCGAGCTTGATAGCGGCAGGTCCATGTTCATGTTCTGCATACTTAGGAAAGGCGTGCTCTCCCCGTGAGCGTCCTCATCCTCTTCCTCCTCGTCCTCTGATTGGCTGAAGCTCTGAGAGCTGTAGTCCCGAAAGCCCGCCGAACGCTGGGACGTGTGTCCGTTGAGGCGGTTGCGTCGGGGGCGGCGCCGGCTCCTGATCGGTTCACGCGAGGAGGCGTACTCTTGTGTCGTCTCATATGCTTCATCGTCAGGGAGGTGGTAGGGACTGGACGGTAGACTTCCTGTGCTCTCTGTCAGGTAGGGTCGCCGAGGTCGTCGGGGCTGCCTGTATAAACTTCCATCCTGAAACAAAACAACAACAAACTCTTTGAAATATCTAAAACTCACCATGGCAAAAAATCACTAGCATTTGCAAAAAATTCTTAATACTTAGTATTAATGTTGCACCAATAACGATACCAGTATCGGACGGGGCCCCGATCCAGCATTAAAATGGTGGTATCGGTATCGGCGAGTACCAACAAATAGGGCACCGATACCATTTAGAGAGCCAAAAGGTTATTGAACTATTGTCACCCATTCCAGGTAGGCAATAAAAAGTTCTACTGGATTCACTTTGTATTAGTCTTTTCCTGCTTCACAAAGGTAGGCAGCAGCAAAGCCATGATGGCAATTATTTTACATCCAAGTAGTATGCAGTTCTTCATCTATACACACACACATAAATTTCCAACAGATGGTATCAGTATCTGCCGATACTGGAGAGCCAGATATCGGGTATCGGGGCCAAAAAATGGCATCGGTGCCAAACTGCTTAGATTTTTAATCGACCTTGCAGCCATTGAAGGCTGCTGTTTAGAGACAAATGTGTTGCAACGTTCTAATTAAAATCAATAAAATAAATGATTTATCATTTTAAAAACACTATGAATAAAACTAGAATCCAAACTGCATCTTTATTGTCCTCTCAAGACTAATCCATTTTTAAATGAACAAAAATTGTTGGGTTGTACATCTTAAAATGTATTTTGGGTACTTTTCATATCTTTGAATATGAATGCTAAACATTAGTTCATCGATCATATATTAATTTCAAAATAAGAAATAGAGATGATCATTAAGATGCAAACTGGATTACATGTTTTTAATTTTATGTATCAGTCAAAAAAAAGAAGCTTTGCAAATTACTTTTCATGTAAAAATGTCTTAATAATTTGTATTAAGTAACAAGATCAGCAGTTTTAGAGAAAAAAAATGAATATGCTGTTTGGTTGATCAATTATTTATTTTATCAATGAATATATAAAAATGCAACTATGAATTTAAAATGAAAAAGCCTTTCTGTTCACAAATCTTTATTTTCAAATCTGACATTTAAATTTTTATTTTGATCACTTTTTGCTTGGAGATCTTCTAAAAATTTGATGTAAAATGTTATTTGTAATTTCAATTCATTTACAAATGAAAGAGCCTTGGAGAAGAAAATAAAAGGCAGTTTGCAGGATTCGTTTTTTTTTGTTTTATGTATAAGTAAAAAATGCAGGTTTATTTGAAAATAAAAAGGTATTAACATTTGTCAATCTTAATTAGAAAATTGGGGATTTTATTTTAACATATTAATATATACATATGGGGCTACAAAAGTGAATGTAAACTATGGAGTGTTTTTTACTCCATTATTGTTAAAAGCAAAGAACATGTGTTTTAATTGTAAATAAAAAAAAAGTGCAATCCAGAAATGAAACCTTTCAATCAAATATAAGTTTTACGAATAACTTATATTTATAACTTTCTCTCTATTACTTTAAATCATTTAGTTTTTGTTTTTTTTTCAAAAAGGTTCACTTTTTGACATTTTATCTTTTTTTTGTATTTTTTTAGGTCTTTTAATTTTGTTAAATAATTTCTTCAGATTTACATTTTTCAGATTGAGTTTTCTGAATTTCATTCTCTTTTTTTAAATAGCATTTCACAGATTACATTCTCTTCACCTTTGAGGGCGAACTTTTCTCTGCAGAAAGACGCAAAGAAGCATTTCTATTGGTCTGCTGGACGTTAGCAACAACTTTAGTGCTGCACATTGAGGAGTTATTTAAAAGACATAAAAAAAATAAAGGATTATAAAATATTGGAATATTTAAAAACAGCAAGAAATTTCAGAAATGTTGATTAAGAAGTTTTTCAAACCTGGATACCACTTTTTTCTTCTATTTTTAAATGCGTATTTTGCTTACAGCAATAATGAATTAAAATTCCCAATAAACCAATATTTTTACATTTCGAAATTTTCTTCCACTTCCAAATTATAAACTCCTTGGTGTCGGTGAATCAAATATACTGTAGCCCTGATAAAATACTTGGAGGTTTGTGGTGGCACGTAAAAAAATGTGAAAGAGTTGAAGTCGTATGAATACTTTTGCTTAGCACTGTAGAAAATCTGGAAAACAGAAAGGTGTGGATTAAAGGCCGAGTGGCAAAAGTTCAGTAACTCTTTGACTACATTATCGATCTCTGGAGCTTTTTCTTGCACCACGTCTGCCTACGTACTTCGGGGCATCTTAGCAATGGTTGGTCATCATCTCTGTGGTAAGCCGCAGCAGCAGGGGGAAGGGAGAGGGCGTGGGTTGTGTTGGGTGAGGTGATCTGGAAGGTGGGTACCTGGGGTGGCAGAGGGGGGTAGTGAAACTCCACAGGAGACAGCCGTGCCGGCGTGGTCAGCGCTGATACGTATCTTGATGGAAAAAGACAAAAAGCAAACAGAACAGTACCTGAAGCACCATGTAAACATAAGAAACTGCAAGGATGAGAAGAGCAGATAATATGATATTGATATAACGTCAAGATCCCATAGTTTTATCTCACGATCTGCTGTGTGTATGAAGTACAGATCTGAAATGCAGACATTTCAGATCTGTACTTCAATGTATTCAATGCAGACAAGGTCTGCATTGAATACGTTTCATCCTTTAGCGTCTTTATAAGGACGCTAAAGGATGCTAAAAGATAAAACTGCTATCTGGTTCAACGTTTTTAAGGTTATGTATAAATAATTAGCTTTTAGGCTGTTGTCTGTTTCTATTACAAAAGTTTGAGAAAAAAAAAACAACAGAAACCTAAATTAGCTGTGTTAAATAAAAAAAATAGATTGGCGATCCTTTTTAATATAATCAAGAGTATGGTCAGCAATTTAAAATAACCTGGCCACCTCTGGACTGGAACCTACAGAGTAAAACACAGGAAGGCTAATGATAAGTGAGGCTGTGAGTATTTCCTGCGATCAACTTTGATTAACTCAATTTATTCAGCTGTATATTTATTTCCATTTACAGGCTAGGACAAAATTCAAAGGGAGATATTTTGTACTGTAGAGGGAACGATAGACATTTATTTTTTTTCTGATCCCTTCTACCTGGTCACATATAGCTTTAGGCATTATGGGATGGGTTGAGGTGTAGCTATGCAGCTGAGGAACTGTAGATGGCAGTCTTTAAAGGGTTATATCATGCAACATCAACTTTTTATTTAAGCTTTGAGCAGGCTCTCCCTGTCCTGGGCAAATGACCAGCCAAGAAGCATCTACCTTGACCACGCCGTGCCTACCCAGTAACACCACACCCACTTTCTCCAATCAGTGAGTTTTATAAGGCAGAGCGCGATCATTTTAGTTCAAAGTTGAAATGAAGTGGAGCTTTTAGCAGCTTATCTGCAAAGTGACAGCAATTGTTCAGTTTTTAGCTAATGTCCGAGTCAGTCTTCCTACAGAAGAGCCTACTGCTAGAAGTGGCATTATGCCATATGCTGCAGATTCTCTAGGGGGGTGTCATGATAGGACAACACCCACAAGAAGATGGAAAATTAGCACAAAAGGATATATTTCATTAAAAATATACGCTGAATTGCTAAAAGCATTAGTTTGTCATGCATAAAACCAAAAATGACATTGGAAGAATTAAAAAAGTATGATATAGAACTTTTAAACCCTAATTTAGAAGCTGAAGGACCTCTGAACTCACTATACTAAAATGAAATAAGTGTAGGAGGTGTGCCAGACATTCAGTATTTTAATTTAACTACAGGGCCAACTTAGGTTCAATATGTCTTAATTCTGTAAATGCTGCCTCACTGAACACGAGCTGTTGGTATCAAGGTGACATCACAACAGACACCACTCCTACTTTTCAGAGGATTTAGAACCAGCCTCTGATTCCCTGATTAACGCAAAACCCCCAGTAAGCCGTTTGGTAGAAATGAGTGCAGCCAATTTGTTTTCAATTTTTGTGTGAAAGGGTTGCATTACTGTACTTCTGCTGTGCCCATTACTTGAATGATGTCATCAAACTGAGGTTTCCTTTAAATTTGGAGGATTTCCACCTCTTACAGGGAGCTTTACAGTAAAAGAGAGAATGTTTTGGCTGCTATAGTGTTCTTTCTGTGTCACAAGATCATGGCATGCTGAGATGAAAGCTCAGTTACTAGTCAAGAAACCGTCCGTAATATATTCAAATACAGACTTTAAGGGGCAGGAAAACAAACTATTTTTATGATAGTTTTTCCATTTAAAATAACCTACTCACTAAATATAAAATGCTAAGAACAGATTTAACAACAAGTCATATCAAAACAGAAAGAAAAAGGCCAACTGCAGAAAGAAAGGGCTTCTAACTTTCACCTTTACTGCTAAGTCCAACTACAAAGATAATGTAAGATGGAAAAACACAGCTAGTAGTAACCATATATACCTGCTGCATTCAGTGTTACTGGCAGTAGTTGGTTAGTAACTGGTGCCCCCTAGTGACCAGTTTCCACCCTGTCTTTTCATCAGCTTTATAGAAACGTTCAGTTTTAATAAGGTCACTGTTCTTATATGTCCTGTAGATACTGAAAACTATCTTAACTGTGGAATTTCAGATCCTCTTTCTGCTTTGAAACCTCTTTGCAAACTATAGCTTTAACTGTCCCCATGCATCTCAGTAATCCAGTGAGATAAACGTTGAGTAATTCATCTGGATGGGTTCTTCTTTGTCCAATCAACCTCTTCAGTCTGAATAAGTTTCTTGGAGAAGCCTGAGGAGTAACAGGTAAATTTAACCTTGTAAGAAGTGCCTTTACATAGTTAATGGTGACTATCAAAACTAGCTGTTCACATGCAAACAAGGAGCAACAGCTCATTAGTTTGACTCATGGTCCTTGTTTGCATTTGAGCAACCAGTTTAAATTGTTACAATCACCAGTTAGGGGAAGTTAATGCTGATGGTAACGGGTAATTATAGTCTTTGTTCTTTGGTCAAAATACATGAATTTGACATTATAATTATCCGCTAAAGGTCTAAATGTGGGAAACCTGGCATTTTACCTGGTGTAATAACATTCTTACAGTGTATTTAGTGTTTTCAACAGTCCAGGGTTATAATCTGTTGAATGGTGGGATCAACAGGTTAGGGCTATTTAGAGATACATGCAGCAAAATGATTCCCATGTGGGATATTTTTTGCCACATGGAGCACCAGAGTACATAGAAGAAAAATTCATAAAAAAAAAACAATATGTGTAAGTCTATTAAAATGGGCGTTAAAGGGATTGTGGAAGATTTTCGTGATTTTTTTAAAAAGACCGCCCTTTCCACTTAAAAAAAATACGCATGAGAGAGCATGCACGGGCCCATTTCTCCTTGTGCACGATCTGTTCAAAAGAGGCTGTTCTCAAACCTCCGCCATAACCCCTAAATCCCTCAATCAATATATAGAGCGGGGACTATATAGCAAACTTTATAGCGAACTGTTAACTTACCGTTCGGACAGATGATCACTGCTTTTTGCTCACTGTTGGTCACGCAACTCCTCCACTGCATGGTGCCCGCACCACCTTTCGTATTATCCTCGAGAGGGTCGCTGTGACAGCAAATCCCAGAATGCTTTGTGAGGAGAGCTCTCCGGGCAAAGCATTCTGGGATATATCTGCCTCTTCTGAGGCCTTTCTTTTCTTCTCAAAAACTTCATAGACACTTTTTCTCTTACGACCCTCCGTCATTTTCAAAGAACCGCGGTGAGAAAGGTGAGCTTCAATGACTGGCTGAAACCGTAGCTCACTACAGATAGACGCCTGAAAGTGCGCATGCACAGAAATAAATAAAGCTAACAGGACGAACACATAGGATGGCCTTACGTAAACATATCACCAGAATAAATGACAATTAGGAGGACCACTTTTTTAGATGATCCACCCGGAAATAAAAGATAGTCCTCAATGCCTTTAATGCGAATTCAAAAAAAGCCTTGTTTTAATCAAATCATAAAAATATTTTACATTCAACAGAAAGGATTCAGCTTTAACAGTAGATGTGATTATTTAGGGTTTACATTTTGGAGTCAATTAATTTAAAATAATGCGATGACCAGCCAGATTTGGCAGATGTGTATTTAATCTGTAACATGTTTTATTTTCTAACCAATCTATGCACGAGAGTACAAGAACCTGTGGAAAAAAAACAACAAAAACACAACACAACTTTCAATGAGGCTTTCTTTACCTGTCACTGTGAGGCGAATCTCTTAGAGAGTCGTATGAGTCCCCATACTGCATCCCCATTCCCGACATGTCTCTGCAGCCGTAGTTGGCGGCCCTCCTCGCCATGCATGCCGGGCTGCTGCACTTACTGGTTCCCACTGAGCTGGAGAGCCCACCTGACTGGCAGTCTGAGTTTACGCTCTCTGTTCGTTCCATGCTCCACGTCTGCTCCTCGTGTCTGCAGGTGAGGCAGTTAACAGCAGGTGTGCAAGGTTAAAGCAGCACTGAAAACACTGAGCTGTGGAATCTGAAAGCATCAAGACTATAGAGAAAGATCAGGGGCACAACGTTTAACTTAAAAATAAACTGTTAAATCTGAAAATAATTTCTTTGTCTTCAGTTTGATACCAATTCTAACCATGTTGCTAATATAGTTATAAAATAGTTCTAATATTTATAAAAGAAAGTAAAAGAAAAAAGTAAAAGAAACACCAGTCTATTTGTTGACTTTGAAGTATATGGGATATCCTGATCTGTAAGTGGATGTAAGCTACAGGTGCTGGTCATAAAATTAGAATATCATGAAAAAGTAGATTGATTTCAGTAATTCCATTTAAAAAGTGAAACTTGTATATTATATTCATACATTACATACAAACTCATATATTTCAGATGTTTATTTTGTTTAATTTTGATGATTACAAATGACAACAAATGAAAATCTCAAATTCATCATATCAGAAAATTAGAATATTGTGAAAAGGTTCAAAATTGATGGCCCCTGGTGCCACACTCTAATCAGCTAATTAACTCAAACCACCTGCAAAAGCCTTTAAATGGTCTTTCAGTCTAGTTCTATAGGCTACACAATCATGGGGAAGACTGCTGACTTGACAGTTGTCCAAAAGACGACCATCGACACCTTGCACAAGGAGGGCAAGACACAAAAGGTCATCGCTAAAGAGGCTGGCTGTTCACAGAGCTCAGTGTCCAAGCACATTAATAGAGAGGCGAAGGGAAGGAAAAGATGTGGTCGAAAAAAGTGTACAAGCAAGAGAGATAACCGCACCCTGGAGAGGATTGTGAAACAAAACCCCTTCAAAAATGTGGGGGAGATTCACAAAGAGTGGACTGCAGCTGGAGTGAGTGCTTCAAGAACCACCACACACAGACGTATGAAAGACATGGGTTTCTGCTGTCGCATTCCTTGTGTCAAGCCACTCTTGAACCACAGACAGCGTCAGAAGCGTCTTGCCTGGGCTAAAGAGAAACAGGACTGGACTGCTGGTGAGTGGTCCAAAGTCATGTTCTCTGATGAAAGTAAATTTTGCATTTCCTTTGGAAATCAAGGTCCCAGAGTCTGGAGGAAAAGAAGAGAGGCACTTCATCCACGTTGCTTGAAGTCCAGTGTAAAGTTTCCACAGTCAGTGATGGTTTGGGGTGCCATGTCATCTGCTGGTGTTGGTCCATTGTGTTTTCTGAGGTCCAGGGTCAACGCAGCCACATACCAGGAAGTTTTAGAGCACTTCATGCTTCCTGCAGCTGACCAACTTTTTGGAGATGCAGATTTCATTTTCCAACAGGACTTGGCACCTGCACACAGTGCCAAAGCTACCAGTACCTGGTTGAAGGACCATGGTATCCCTGTTCTTAATTGGCCAGCAAACTCTCCTGACCTTAACCCCATAGAAAATCTATGGGGTATTGTGAAGAAGAAGATGCAATACACCAGACCCAACAATTCAGAAGAGCTAAAAGCCACTATTAGAGCAACCTGGGCTATCATAACACCTGAGCAGTGCCACAGACTGATCGACTCCATGCCACGCCGCATTGCTGCAGTAATACAGGCCAAAGGAGGCCCAACTAAATACTGAGTGCTGTACATGCTCATACTTTTCATGTTCATACTTTTCAGTTGGCCAACATTTCTATAAATCCTTTGTTTTTATTGGTCTTCAGTAATATTCTAATTTTCTGATATGATGAATTTGAGATTTTCATTTGTTGTCATTTGTAATCATCAAAGTTAAACAAAATAAACATCTGAAATATATGAGTTTGTATGTAATGTATGAATATAATATACAAGTTTCACTTTTTAAATGGAATTACTGAAATCAATCTACTTTTTCATGATATTCTAATTTTATGACCAGCACCTGTATAGTGAAGCTATACGTCGAAAAAAGCTGGATTACGGGCTAACAAGCTTTGTAATTTTTGTAGCTTACTATCTAACAGACGGAAATGTCATATGCCGTTTCTCATTATGTGTACTTGAGCGTTCTCGTGTGCTCGTGAAATGTCCATCAGCCTCAGCCCGAGCACTGTTCCAATTCACAAGAACAAGAAGACCGAGAACGGACAAAGTACTCGTGATGTTGTTCTCGCCCCTCCCTCTTTACCCAGCATGCATCAGAGCAGATTTGTCCGTTCTCGAGCTTGACAGCTGTCCCAGCATGCACTGCAGCAGCAGCAGCTTTCAATGGAGCGCTCACAGAGCTCAAGGTATTAAGTTAAAAGTTCACTTTTCTCTTGCTGTTGTTAAAAAAAAAAAGTCTTATATTAACAATATGTGAGATCGGTCTTTATTCAAGCAGCATTTATTAATCCGGACCCCCATTCCAAAGGGTTAGACCCCTTCGTCTGTTTCAAAAACAAGGTTTGTTAGGCTACTGTATAAAACCTAGAACTCAATGCTATTCCTGACATTTTATATTGAAAAAGCTTCCTGGATGGGAAGCGAAACGTCTTCAAACTTCTAAAACAAAGTCCAGAGGATCGTTTTTTAATTTTCTTTTTTGGAATTAGTGACAGGTTGATTTCTGTTAACATTTCACTAAATACCAGCTAAACACAACTCACTGTTATTTAAACTATTGAAATTTAAAGCAACAAAAAAGATGTTGAAAATGTAAAAGGTAATGATAAATAAAAAAGAAAAAAAGCTGTGATAAGAAAAAAATTATCTTACTGCTGTTAAGCCTCTAGTTAATAACAGTGATTGTGAGCTTGTTTTGCTTCCCTTTATTGTAGAAATTATCCTCTCAAGCCGACCACCTGTTAGATAAGGCTAGATGTAAGTCTTATCTTCCTGATTTATTTTATCTTCCAGTTTTAGATGTTTTGGTAAAAGGTTAGACTCCATCGGATTCAACGCTTATCTAACATTTTACTGTTTTCTTCAAGTGTAACTTGTTTTGATTAACTGTATGTGGAGAACCTCACAGCTCTTTGCAGACGGTGATGGTTAGAAAAACCTTGTCTAGTCCAGAACAGACAGAAACATTAGCAAAGGCTGAATGTTCACCCTTGCACGGATTAATAAATGCCGCTTGAATAAAGAACACCAATCTCACATATTGTTATTGTATGACTTAGACTTTTTTTCCCTAATAATACAGTTGAACCTTGAAATTTAACATGTTAAATACAAAACCTAAACTGAGTGAAGTTTTATATCAACTGAAAACCCCTTTAGATTCACTTCTTTTTTTTTTCATTAAAAAAGGTCTTTTAGATTTAGTAAAGCTTATGTTTAAACGGACACTCACTTCTATTTGATTAAACATTGTGGCCTTGACCATAAAGTGGATTTGGTTGCATCAGTGTTGGTGTCTATGGGAACCAGACGATGGTTTAGTGTCCTGGGTGTGATTGTGTGTGTGTGTGTTTGGTCTACCTGGAAGCATGTGAGGCAGTGGTGGAGTGATGGGAGCGCGTTGACATTCGGCTGCCTGCATAGTTTCCTGCACCCTCAGCTCCATGACTCATCACACACTCTGTCGTAGGGACACTCTTCGAAATGTACTACAAATCAAACATGAGAGCAAGTTTTACTACATTTCCTGTGTTACTCTAAAAAAACAAATAAACAAACAAAACAGATATAATGATGGAGGAAAGTCCAACTGATACCTGGAAAATTATACAAATTGTAACAATTATAAAAGAACGATTCAGCATTTGTCCATCTGAATGGCTGATGACTCAGGCCTGCTATGTGTCCAGGAAGGGGAAGGTGTTCTCTGCTCTGTCTGTAACATTTATTAAACATGTGGCCATAAATCCTCCAACCAACCCCCCCACCCAGACAGCTTGATACAAATAAATATCCAATCTGAAGCAGAGCTGCACAGAAGCCTAAAAGAACTTTAATTGTTGTGTTAAATTTAGGTCCTGAAGTAAAACGACCTCCATCAGCAACCAGAGGCAAGGAGGCAGCGGAGCCTCGCTGTGCGGTTTGCTTCCTCTATCCTTGCTTTAGTATTAATGGATAACGGGGGGTATTTCTCACACAGACTTAAATTATATTCAGGGCATTGAAATTTAATTAAATACAATGATATATCTGCTCCTGCTCGGATGGTAGCTGCAGGCTTTGCTGGAGATTATCAACCCTTTTAAACTCACAATAGAGATAAAATGGTTATAAGCATTTTAACATGACATAGGAATGATCTAAATAAGGGGTAAGATAACTGTCATTTAAAAACATATTCATAAGTGTCTAAATTCTAAAATGAAGGTCAGTAAACAAGAACACATTTAAGATTTCTTATTGTTTCTTGTGAGCTCAAACAAACATCCAACACTAGATGTTTCATCTGTTATAATTCAGGGTTTAGAAGTTTATAATAATAATACATCTTATTTCAAAGGAGCCTTTCTGGATACTCTTCTGGTCACCATACAAAAGATAAAAACACATTGGCAGAAAGTCAAACCACAGAATACAATCATTAAGGTATGAATGTAAGTTAGAGAGTAACAACTTTACAAAAAATACAACTACAAATAACTAATGTAAATACTAAAAAACAAGAAATAACAAATTTAGGAGTGTGAATCAAAACATTGACCTGTTGTGATTAGTACTTCTAAATTTGTGATTCTCACTCATAAAGTTTAGAGTTTTATTAATAAATATGATTCATAGTCATAAATTAATCATTTCATCATTCTGCTTCATTCTCTCTCTATTCTCCCAATCTGCAGAATCTGTTAGTTCAATCTCTAACGTTCTGCTCTCTCTGTTTTTTCTTATAGTTGCTTCATCTGGTCTGTTCCTGTTTGGCTGTGACTCCATCCTGGAGAGAAATATCAGCTTTGCTGCTGCCATCAACACCTTTGTTTATAGATGTTGGAGATCAGCCTGTTTACCAGTGTAGTCCTGTTTCTCTGACTGCGACTGGCTGGAGGTGCTCTCTTTATCCTTTCACATTGGGGTGGCTCGGAGCTCATCTGCCAGGCTGTGTGTTTCCTGGATGGGGCCGCCTTTTACAGCTGCTTTTTGTGTCTCTGCTTCTGTCTCCTTGAACCCCAGTCGGCCTCAGCAGATGGCCGCTCACACTGAGCCTGATTCTGCTGGAGGTTTCTTCCTGTTAAAAGGGAGTGTTTCCTCTCCACTGTCGCTAAAAGCATGCTTAGTGTGAGGGATTGCATTCAAGTTAATGAGTCGATGAACTTGTTATAAACCTGTTAGTTGAACTCATAGTTTTTGCAAAGTTAGAACCTGGTCCTTTTTATTTTTTCTCAAATAAATGTTTTCCATGCAGACAAATGAAAATGCTCTTCACTACAGAGGAAGGTCCACTGCTAGAAGGGAGTGTGATCCGTAAAGCACCATTTGAAAATATAATGCAACTTTTAAAACTCAAAGAGAATTTTGAAATAGAAAATCTAAATAAATAAGAATAATACATTTTTAAAAATAAAGTTTAAAAAAAGAAATATTTTGGAAAAAAAATGTATCTAGGAAAACAGGAAAAATTTAAGAAGTTTTTTAGTTTCATTTTCTTATTGCATTATTTTCAAATTTACATTTACAAAACATGTTATTTGCTTGTAAGAATAATGAAAGATATTTCACTCCATAACCCAAGGCCATAAGGGAAACCCCAAAGAGGAAAAACAACAGGATTAGTGAGGAGGACTTAGAGGGAAACAAAAAGTGTCTGAATACAGAGAACTGATTATTTGAACCACCCCCTAAATAGTTTAATAAATTAGGAAAAACTTATCTAACAATCAGAAAATTATACATCTGGAGATAAGATCAACTTTATCATCCAGAGGGGATTCATTTCAGCAGTCAGACGTGTTAAAGTTTCATTATTAGTTAAATAATAGGAACAATATTGAATAAAAAAAAAATAGAAAAAGTAAAAGCAATGCATTATAGAGGAATTCCAGCAGAATTACCAATTGTGAAAATGCTGTAAATGAGATTAGAGAAACAATCTGAGAAATACAGGTAATATTTTTGGACAATTTGTGTTTTGTTTTCTTGTATCTGTATCAGCCGGTGCGTTGCATTTTAAAGCAATATTGAACTAAAAAGAGTCTGCAGCAAACATCGGGGATTGTTTATACTGATACCAAAATTTATCTGCACTAAAATCGTCCGTAACCCTTTATAGAGCAAGTCACCATTTTTGATCACTTGCACACCCCTTACAAATGGAGTCCTCCTGTTCCTCAGTGAGGTCTAGAAGCACAAGATCTATATCCAGCCATTCAGCAAAGATGCTGCTACATGGCTGTACATCTTAATTTGGCATTTGACCAATTAGATGAGCCCTTAATTGATATATTACCTACTGGAAATTAAGTTGGAAGCTAACAAGTCAAGAAAAAAAGGGTAAAAAGCTAATAAAAATGTTGAAAAAGTAAAGTTAAAAAGTTAATAAGCCTAGTTAACAATTATATTTAGGTTTATAAACTAAAAAAAGTAAGTGGCAGTATCAGCATTAATGCCTCTAAGATTATGTTGTACCAAAGAAATGTGTTTCTTTCCCTCTCAGAGTGTTTTTCATGAATTTCTTATAGAAGCACTTTTGTTATTTTTCTTAATATTTTCAGGCAAGTTGGTGATTCTTGTTATTACATTGAAATTAATTTTTGCCATCAAAATATCCATATCTTTTGAATGTTAGAAAGGTAATAAGCGCTTGTCCAGGATTCCAATAACGCTGTTGGCTTAAAATTTGGCTTAAAAAAGTTTCCTATGAAGGGTTAAGAAAAACAAACTATATTAGTTGATCTTTAAAAAACACACAAAAGTGTTCAATATATGTTCTATATAGCCTACAGAGAAGGAAGATTTTAAGGAGGGGAGATTTGTTGAATATTTAAGCTGGACTTGCAATGGTGCTGCATTAGTCATCACTTCTTTTTTCAGGTAAAGAGTAGAGGTTTGGGAAAATGGCGGCAGCAGGGTGCTTGGATCTAGGGAGGAGTTCTCCTTCAGGGATGGGTCAAATGCAGAAGACAGGCTTGTCTGTTTACGTCGCAATGACAAATTAAGATGTTATTAATCTTCTGAAAACAGAAGAGTGGCAAACATAAAGTACTGTGTTCGTTAGCATCACGTTTTCATAGGAGTTCCTTTTTTCACGGCCGAATCATGTTTGTTGTTGATGAATTACTGCCTGGCCACCTGAAGATCACAGCCATTTGTTAAATACTTTTTTTCAGCGTTGTCCTCTAATGTTTTAATAGCGTCTTTGGCTCCAAATGACAGAATCTCCACCTTCACTGTAAATCACACGCTGAGAAATGTTATTCTGTAATTATGGAACTATTTGCCCATGAAATCTTTCAGAGTGGCTATTTCCTCTTCATCTTTCCCCATGACAGACTCTTCCTCTCCTCCAAGCACCTAATACTCCATCATGCTACTTGACCTGTTGCCAGATAACCTAATTAGTTTTGAGATTTTCCACCGGGTGATTTTTCTTCCTGTCTTTTGTTTCCTGTGTCTGCTTGCTGTGACCTGATGCATGGCGTGTTTTTGTTTTTTTTCCGTGGTCCTCAGCGGTCTGTATGACTTTATTTCCTGATTCGATGAGTTACGATCCGCCCGCTGTGTGCTGCTGCTGTGTGGACTCACATCAACCATGGGGATCTCCTCAGGACCGGGCCCTGGGTGGTTTGGCCCATTAGCCAACATGCGGTTTGGCTGCTCCACAAATTGATTCTGGTTTTGATGTAGGTGATTCTGCATCTGTCTCCTCTGTGACCTGGAGGGATGGTACAAATGTGTGAAAGTAAGTGATCGGATAAAAGCATTTCTTTCCCTCATATCTTACTTCTTTTTTGTTAATTAAATTTTTTACTGGTCCCATTTATTTTTATCTGTAGGTTCTAGTTTTTCCTGTTTCTCTTACAACTTGTATGAAATAACCCCTTTTTGTATGCACTGTTACCTAAAAGAAACTCTGTAATATTTATATTTGTATATTTTTACTCATCAAAAAATGAAACATGGAGATTGTTTTCTGCTAAACATAACCAAAAATACTTTCAGCTTTATTAGAAATAATTGCACACAGAAAAGAGCTTTTAAGATGTGATGAAGAATAAAGACAACCGACCTAAGATTAAAAACTCACACAACAAACCTAAGAAAAGCCAGAAAAACAACATCAAAGGATTATGTAAAAAACAGTTGGCTCTTTTCTAAATTTATCATTACCTTACTCTTTTTAAAACATAACTTTTTCTGCACTTTAGAACATAATTTCTACTTTATATACCGCTTCTATTTAAACGTCATGTAGCAAAGATAAACAACACATCCCTGACTAAAGCTGCTGAGTTTGTAAAGCCCATAAATGAACTAACAAACGCTTTTGACAGCCGGTGTTCTGTCTGATGAGCATACCCCTTCAGAACAGCATACTTATAGTCAATACACATGTGCAAGACGTCAGATTTGCGTTTATCCCTTTAGTTTTGTATGAAAAGAATCCCTTTAGTCATGTACAAATAAAAACAATTTATGGTGAGATCGACATACGCTTATAAAAAACACCAAAAAGTAAGTAATCTAATAGTTTTTTTGAACATGTCTAAAGGGATACATGCCCATTGAGGTAGTTTAAAATGTATTTTTTGTACAAAAAAAAAATAAAAAATAAGATAAATGGATAACCTAAAGGGATAAACAGGTATTGACTATGGGTATGCTGTTCTGACTGGGAATGCTCATCTCACAGAGCACAGAGAGAAGGCTGTATGTAGGTGAAAGCAATCTTAAGTAGACTGAACCTGAAGTATGTTCCTCAGGTTAGAGTAGTGGTTCTCTATTAAACACTGACTTATTATTTTTGGAGAGAAAAAACCCCAAAAGATTTACTTCACAAAGAAATTGAAGTATATGCATATATATATGCATTTTTGTGAAGCAAATGTGACATTTTCAACAAGGCTTTTCCAAAAGTTGTGTATGTTTGTGTTCATGCAGATGCCACAGACCAGTTTTTTCTTAACAACCAGTAGCACACTTTATGCGAAATCAGAGGCCTTTTCATTGTATGTTCTCAGATCTTAATCTTTTCTTTCTCCATTTCCTTTCTATTAAATTTCTGATGTACGGTGAAAAATAATAATGCTGAAAATAATAGACTAAAAGCTCTAAGAATGACACTGTTTGAGATTCTTACATTATACAATAACCAGAGAATTCAGTGTTTCATGTAATGACATCTAATAACTTTTATTTAAAATAGTACAGCAACAATTACTCCGACTCAAATCACATATTATGAAGTCACATTAATACATTTTATAACTAGTTATGCTCTAATGCATACTGACAATTCTTACTAAAGTGGTTTAATAGGAAGGAGAGTTTTCTTTTTCAATTCTGCATTTAAATCTCATTGGCTTCTTTTTAACAGACATGGTGCTTGTAGCTTGCAGACTGTAGTGTAAAAACAGCTTTTAGTCAGTGAGATTGGTCGTTGGTTCCCTCAGAGTTTCCACACCATGATTTTGTTTGTTTGTCCCAAATGGAGAAATATTTTGAAGAGACAAATTTTTCAGCCAGTTTTCTGGAAGTCAGCGCCAACAGGTGACACTTTCTAAGCGGCATAGTCCCATTTATATGCCTTTATAACAAAGACCAAAAACCAGCTGATCATGATCAAATTAGGTTATACATCAGTATCCACAGTGTTCAGATCCTCTTTAAGTCTACATAAAAGCTCAGTCACCGTTTTTAGTTTGTCGTCATTTCTTTGCCCCCTTGTTGTGAGTATTCCTGGTTCTCAGTTGGATTTTGTGGATTTATGTTTTTGGATTTTTGCCTCAAGAAGCCACTTCAGCTTCAGTGTCTGCATTTGGGTCCTGTCACACCTCCATTCCACTGTGACAATTACTACATTGATTAATCATAAAAGTAAAAAATATCTATTTATAGATGATACAGAAGCAATTAAAGCTAAGGTTAAACTTGAGCCCAGCCAAAGCTGACAGCATCTATTGAAGGGGACGATGGTGACTGCTTATACAAGCTTAAAATAACTCCACTTCTCTCAATCAGAACTTCCCCTTTATAGCTAGTTTGGATGTGCCTGGAGAACCTTATCTGTCATTGTAGTCATATTTCCCTTTTCTCTCCCACTGCATGAGCAGAGGCAGCAGCTGATCACCGCTGCTTCTTTCTACAGGGTAATAGGAAGGTTTAGAGTCTTTCACGAACAAGGAGAGATCATTTATGCCTCCTTCAAAGACATACTTGGTTTTGCAGTAGGCCACCACACAAACGATGCCAACCACTAACAAGGCCACACAGATGCCTGTGATCGTCAGCACCCGCCTCTGGTAGACCAACTCTGCCTCTGTGGATGAAAGCACATGCACAAAGTTCACACACACACACACACACACACACACACACACACACACACACACACACACACACACACACGTGTTGGAGAGAACAGACAGGGCAGTCATGTCATACACCCAGAAACACACACACACACACACATACAGCATGAGTGCTTTTCCATTTGTGTTGCCTACAGAAGCAGTTTTCACACTATCATTCCTTACTACATCACATCCCCTGGGCTGTCTGTACAACTCCTGCGTCCTCGTTTCACATGTTCAACACCTCACTTTACCGCTGCGATAAACCGCTTCCAGAATACAGAGAATTATTTCCAACATCTCAGCTGCACAAGACTATATTAACGCTTTCTGAGAGATCTCCTAATCCTACACAGGTGTATTGACAATGATTGTGGAGATGTAATGAAACACGTGATGGAGGAGGGGTGGGGGAGGGGGGGGGGGGGGGGGGGGGGGGGGGGGGTGACTTCATGCTTCTATGGATGAATTGCATATAACATAAGTTATTTATTTATTAAGTTCGGTGTTCACACACTAAGTGTACCTGACCTCATGTAGGTGTGTTGCTCAGAATATTGGAGCAGAGTATGTTTTGTCATCTTTACTTAAAAAGAAAAGTGTTGATAATTATCTTATGGACAAATACTGACTTATCATAGGTGAATATTATAAATGTAGTCCAATATTTTTCTGTCTGTTGTAGTATTTTGTCATGTCCTGGGATTTTTGGTAACAAAAACAACGTAGAAAGATGAAAACAGAACCTTGTGTTTTGGAGAAACAGTTTTTCTTGTTGTTAAAGTTGGCTTAGATCTTTTTAAATCGCTGTCCATTCCTTTACACAAGTCACAATGTGAAAAATCTTTTTGAGAATTACCTTGCCAGTCAAGCAGCTTACAGCATTTGCCAATTGTTGCAGAATCTCTTCAGTGTCTCTTTGCTGTGAAAGACGTCTTCTCAGCTGCTTTAGTCACAATTGCTTTTTATCAACAAATGTGACCATTTATGGGGAAATAAAAATGTCCTATGAGATTCACTGGCAGAGACCATTGCTAAGAATAATAATATTTGCTTACTTTCTCTGGTGAATTTATGTGCACATATTGTGTGCAACAAATTGCAAAGGATAGAAATGTTATGTGCCAGGTGGTTCTTTCCCTTTCTATTGCTATGGGTATATATACAAAAGCCTTCATTTTCAAGGTAGTTATGTTTTGGTTTAGATGCTTTTGTTATAATACATATATATTTTAAATGTATGTATATACTTTTTCTAGTCTTTTTTAGTAAAGCTCCAGTAGTTTAACAGTTTTCGTTATTGTTTTACATACTACTAACTAATTTCAATATCTCCTGACCTATAAGATCACAAACCATACACAAAAAGTATGTGCTGTTTTTTATTTTTAGTTGAACAAAAGGAAGTACAATTAGATATTATATTTTATATCACAGAGTACATTGCTTAGTAATAAATGCAAAAGTATGTGAAAGCTTCATTTGCATTTAATTCTTATTTATTATTATGTCTGACACTGAGCATAAACTTTGCCACCACATGATGAATAATGTAATTAATAAATTGGAAATGATTATTAAAATGCATCAATAATTTATCAAATATATAAAACTGAGTGATTAAATGGAATATACTAACTCATATTAAATGTCTTTCTTTACATCTATTTATCTTAATCAATATAGTATATTAATCACCTGAAAAACTGACCATTTCATTTTAAAAAGATTGTGTCGGTGTTGGACTTTAAAACCTGCAGGAATGGCGAGAGTAGGAAAGAGGCCCACTCTAGCTTCTTTCTCCGCCTCAAGTTTTTTTTCAAACATACGGCATTATGACCAACCGGAAGCAGTTCTGCACAAATATATCTGGCAAAATAGTTTTTATAAACCTTTTCTTTTTTTTTTTTTATAAATCATTTTAAATGCCACAATAATCACATTTAATGAATTTTAATGCCAATTCAGGCATTTATTAAAAATAATATTTTTATGACGTTTAATAATTTTGACCAGCGGAAACCCTGTTTAAAGACAATTTCAAAAGTACTGAATAAAAACATACCAGGTGAGTTGTTTATCGTGTCAAGGTCAGGGATCTTGTGGTTTGAAAAAACAACGTTGTGTTTGAAATAAATAGGTCCAGGACCTATAAAGTCAACAGGGTTGACAGAAGTTGGTAAAGACATCATTGTTGGAGTCTGCATTTTTTTTAAATGTTTTTATTTTATTTATTTATTTTCTTATTTTTTTCCTACTTGCTCTGATTCTGTTTTATTTTCATGTATTTTAATCATGTAAAGCACTTTGCATTGTCTTTGTACTGAATTGTGCTATACAAATAAATTTGCCTTGCCTTGTCTTGCCTTGTCTTTAGAGGTAATTTTCAGGGGTTACCTTTAAAGTTCTAAAAAAAAGAGATGCAAAGTTGCGTTTTTTCATTTGGTTTGAAGCTAATTAACCAAGCGGCACAAATTTTAAAATTGTCATATGTTGTATTCAGTTTTTTAGGCTTCAACCTTTGGGCCCTGTTTTGTCAGGGGGGGGGGGGGCGGAGCCTCAAATGACAGGGGGTTTGGAATCATAACCAACAGCCAAACACAGCAACTAAACAACCTCCTCCCAGCTGTAGCATTCAGGGACCGTGGGAACTGGAAAGGTATTTAACCCCATCAGTATTCTATTGTATACGACTGGTTTAAAAAAATAAAAACTTCCTTCACCAACAGAAACAGCCTACATGAAAACACAGTGCTGATCTCAGATTAAACATGATCTTGACAGATTTACAGTTTTTTAGGTCCGAGTAGATTTCTCATTCTCCCATGCAACCTAGAGTGGAAGAACCACCAGACTGAGTAGTTGCACCTGGCTGCAGAGAGAGGTAGACCCAGCCATCCACCGCCTCTGCCAAGCACCATGCACTATATGCCAAGAATCCTGCTGTCAGCCCTCGAAGCTCCAGGGCTGGGTGTGGTGCACCAACTCTTAGGCAGAGGGTATGGAGGAAGATAGCAGTAGATTGTGAAGCAGAGCGGTAAGTAAAAATCCTACATCACAGCCACATTTAAGCCCTGACTAGTTTTGGCAAAGTGTATATAAACTAAAGCTCATACTTTTCGACTCCTGTTAATTTCATGTTGTGTTCTTTGGAATTGCAGCGATGCCCTCGTTTAGCTGTATGCACCAAAGACCTGTGTTTGACTTCACTAGAATCGTGACCTTTGCCTCACTCTACCTTGCAGGCACTCTCTACAATAGGGACAACATGTGAATTATCCAATCAGGGCGTGAAATTCTCTAGACTGATGGAGCTAAATTCATAATTTAGTTCAATAGGTGATAATTAAGCATTTAACTATATAAGCCTTTAGGAGATAAAAGCTTCTTCGGAGATCAAATATTTAGTTTAAACACACTTTTTAATTGATTGTCTATAATTTTGCCTTTAATTTGAACTGTATTAATGCAACCAACAAACGATCTTGTGTTTAGTCATTTAAACAGTTCTTTATTGAATTGTATGTGTTTTTGACCCTAACAATGTTATTGACTATTAGCGATTTTCATCTTTTGAGGGGAGTGGCGGCTTAGTGGTTAGGGCATAGAGCTTGGAATCCTGAGTTCAAGCCCCACTCCCACAGACTGCCACTCTGGGTACCTGAGCAAAGATTCTTAAACCCTCTTTGCTCCCCAGGCACCGCACAATGGCAGCCCTCTGCTCCCCGAGGGGATGGGCTAAATGTAGAGTGTTCATTTCGTTGCTCTGTACTTGTGACAATGTAATGACAATAAAAGCTGGAAAAAAGACAAATCTTCCTCAGCCTAAGCAGGAGTGCCGGTAAAGATAGGCAAAACCGTCCATGTCTTCAGGATCTGTTGCTCTTTGAGGAAGTGACTGCTTTGTGTAAGAGCTGTGTGACACCATTAAAATTGATTCTGGTTGTTTTCAGGCCTACTCTGGCGTAACGTTTTGCGTGAGAACAGCAAGCACTACGACACAGCGATGGAGAGAGCGACAAACAAACAGAAGAGATCCTGAGGGGAAAGACTAAAGGCAAAGATCAAATTTAAAGTGATGAGGAGGAAGGAGAGGAAGAAAACAAAGGACGGAGGTAGAGGAAGGGGGCGTGTTAGGAGAACCGCCCTGAGAGAAACTAATTCCCAGGAAGCAAAGAATGACCTCTTGTCCTCTTTTCAGTTAACTGGATTAAAGAGGTCCTCTAAGTGTTAGTTCTGGTCAGATTACAGTCTCTTAGTACAGCTGCCAATATAAAGTGCTCCTAAGTTAAAGCTAAAGGAATTTAAATGCTGAAAAACTTAGATTGATCATTTAAAAACTTCTAAACCAAAAACAAAACCTGACGTCCTTCTGTAACCTAACTCAAAATATATTCTACCCTTCCTTTTGCAAAAGGCTCTGGAACGGGAGGGGGGAGTCGGGTCAAGGGAGGACATGAGGAGAGTTTCTAAAAAGGGCCTCATTAAGGGGCCTTGGCCCGGCTTTGTGTGTCTCACAGGGTACTGGTACAGAAATCTTAAGCAGAAACGGGGAAGGAAAGCTCCCTGGGCCTTTGGGGCCAAACAGGAGCTGTGACTTAGGAAAGACGAGCTTTTGATTCTGACAGTGACTCAATCAAGGGCATGATAATAAGGACAGCCTATGTCGTCAAGCTGTTTGCCTGCTTTTGGCAAAGCTAGGAGAAAATAATCACAGCTTGGCTTTATACAACAGGCTGTTCAGGCCAATATGCATGGTGCCAAAGCCCAGAGGGTGAGCCAGACTCTGAAACCTTCTTTGGTTTTAGGACAAACATTGTTTCTACCCAGTTACCAGCTTCCACATCAGCAACACTTTGATTTGGCCACTATATCCTCCTTGACTTTGGTGAAATGTCTCACTAAAGTATTCACACCTCCTGGAGATTTTTACATCTTATAAAAAACTATTTTGCCGCTTTCTTTT